CCCGTAGGAAGAGGGGTCATCAAATTCAAGATAGCAGGATACAACTTCGGTTGTTCCTCACTCTCCCCAACAAATTATTCCTGAAATCAACAACATAAACCTTAGATATTTACAAGAAGAAAATTTGGTAGAGCCTCTGAATCTTGGCTTGAATGCCTAGAAGTTGAAGAGAAAAATGATCGGATGAAGCCTTTCATCGACTACTTTAGAGAAAATAAACTTCCCGCAGATAAATCATTAGCAACATAGATCAAGAAGAGAGCATTGTGATATGCGTTTGTTAATAATACGTTATATCGAATATAATTTGAGCAAATGTGGCTACGATGTTTAGGGAAAAATGAAGCCGATAAAGTTATTTCTAAAGTTCATGAAGGACTATGCGGTGCACATCAATCGGGTCTTAAGAAGGCTATTAAAATCAAAAGAATGTGTTATTACTAGCCATCAATGGTAAAGGACTGAACAAATCATGCAGATATATGTTATGAACACCAAATTCATGGCAATATTATACATCAACCTCTAAATCCTTTACATATCACTATTGCTTCCTGGCCATTTGAATGTTGGGGGACATATGTAATTGGGCCCATTGATCCACCATCATCTGCTGGACATCGCTTTATATTAGCGGCAACAAATTATTTTTTTAAATGGGCTGTAGCAGTTCCCTTCAAAGAAGTCACTGCTCATCATGTGATCAACTTCTTTACTCATAATATTGTCTACAGGTTTGGTATTCCGTGCCGTATAATCTCAGATAATGGTTCATCTTTTAAAAGTACCAAGATCTATAAGGTCCAAGGAGGAGCCTATCAACTCATCGATTTAGAAGGTCATTCTGTCATCGAGAAGGTGTACCAGGGAGGAGCCTATAAACTCATCGATTTAGAAGGTCGATGATCTATGCCCCCGATCAATGGGAGATATCTGAAGAAGTACTATTTTTAGAAAAGTAAGCTAAAGATTATTCCCCTACAAAGAAAGAAAATATTTCTAAGATATCTTAGAAATTCTCCCACAAGACAGGAGGCAATTTTAAGCTTAAAAATGCCAAAAATCTGATGATAGATAAAATTTCCCTTTAAGGCAGGGGGCATTTTAAAAATTTATTTGGGTTATCGTTGATCCCAAATAAATATTTAAAATTATTTATGAAGCTACAACTGCATAAATACTAGGCAGAAGCTAGTGTCTTCAAGCAAGTAAATATACGATCATTTCAAAGATTAAAGATTCTTCTTTAAATTTGCTAAGATTTTGAAGTTCAGAATGAAGAGATATTTTGATCTAACAACCTCAACAAATCAAATTTGACAAGTATGAACTGTTATAGTACAAGTCCAGTGCTCAAACAAGATATGATATCAGTCTCAACAAGCTTATATATGACCGAGTCACTAACAGTTTTACCTACTCAACAAGCCATGATAAGAGGCCATAGTATGAAAGCACTTGTTTTGTTAGCCCGGTGATATATACTATTAAGTTTGATATTTGTCAAATTTAACAAATCAAAATAGTTCAGATTTAAAAGATTTTCTCAACTAACAAACAGATTGAGGAAAAATTCAGAAGAAAAATCTCAATTAAGTCATAGGCACCAAGCCACAATAAAAAAACTCATATCAAATTTAGAGGCATTATCCTTCAATAAATCTGTCAAGCATAAAGCTAAGATCAAAGGAGCTTCTCTTCTTCAGCATATCCAATAAAGCACAAAGCTTAGGACCGAAGAAGTTATCCAACAGTTCTTATAAAGCTATAGGCTGAACAAAGAGAATATTGTCATCATCAAAGTCCACCATGCAAAAAGCCCTGGATAGATGACTATTTACCACTATCCTAATACAAATCTAAAGTTTATAGGTTACTGGTATATATTCTTCATCAAGCCTATGGAAGCACAAAGCTAGGGCAGAAGAAATGTTAATTCATGTCAAATCGTAAAGATAAATCATAGATTTCTAAAAGACCCTCTATGTGACACCTAAAATCAAAATTTAGAGATATGTAGGGTCAACCAGTTTACAACAAACATGATCTGCTATAGCATATTTGTTGGGGGCATTTATTGACCTCTAACTGCCGGAAAAACCACCGACTCACCTACGATCGGACACGACGATTCAACCACCGCCTCACTCACGACATAAAAATAACTCCTCTCTCATTCGCTCACTCACGCACTCAGAACTGAAGGAAAGGAACACGCAAGAGAGGAGTCCGAAAACCTTACCTGTGCTCTTGTTCGTCGCTCTATCCTTCCCGATCCGCATCTACCCCCATCGAAGCCTACCAACGTCACGAACTCCAGTCAACCTCCTCCAAACACCGTCGACCCCAGGCCGCCGACCCGCCTTCTACCTCTGCTACCTTCGTCGCCGACCAGCATCCGAGCCCCGCCGAGCCCGTACGTGATCCTTCAATAGTGATCTTTAATCTGGGCAGATGGTTTTAAAATCTTGAAGCCCCCATGCCATTGATCTTAGATCTGGGCGGGATGAAACAAAATTCGAAGACCCCACGCAGTCGTTCTTAGATCCTAGTATGATGGTTTAAAATTGAAGAACCTACGCCGTCGACCTTAGGTCTGGGTAGGAAGAAATTTTGGCAAATGCCGTTCAGATTTCTCCCTCGGTGGGGAGGAGACGCCGGGAGGCTGCCGAAATTTACTTGAAAATTGTGGACTTATACTGATTTTGGAAAACACGAATTTTATTTGAAATTAGTCATTATATTAATTTGATTGATAAATTAAAATGAATGCATTGAAATCTAAATCATAATTCAAACATAAAATCAATTTCAAATTAAATTTGATCAAATAATATTGGACCTAAACTCGAAATAGACTCAAACTTGAATTCGAACCATACTTGCACTCAACAAGACTTTAAGAACTTGAACTTCAATGAGCCACTTGGAATTGAATTTAAACTAAAATATAAAGAACATGACTTGAATGATCAAATCCATCATACACATTGAACTATTCTTAAAGATAAAGGATTTGTAATTATAACTTATTTGCAAGAAATAAAAGCTTCTTTTGGGAGTATAATTTGACTACAAAGCCATAATATGGGAGTTCTTTGGACCTTGATAGACCTCTTTCAATATTGAACATGATATGTCCTTAAATAACAAGTGAGGAAACACTTTGAAATGCAAATTTTCGATCGACGATAACACTAGTGATATCTACAAATACTCTTTACGCCACCGGATCCACAACATGTGTACAAGCGAATAGAAGGTGTTCGTCGGCCCTTAAATGAAATATCAGGCATTCTTCTAAATAAAATCACTTGCGTAAATGGATCATATTTAAATATTTTAAAGTGCCCCATACGTATTAAATATGATCCCTTAAACTAAATTCATCCTACATGTGCTCCGGTCAACATGTTAAAAGTATAAACACTAATGATCGAGAATGCTGCATAGGGTCAAATGCTACAACCCTACATGTGCTCTGAAAAATATTTTTAAGTTATAAATATAAATGTCTGAGAATGATACGCAGGGTCAAATGATATAACCCGCATGTGCTCCGATCGTCGAATATAAATGTCAAATCAAAAGATCCGAGAATACTGCACAATTTAAATATTCAAGTTTCATCCTCCTCCTCGAAAGGACTAGAGTCGACACGACTTGAATAAAAAATGCCTCCCAAAATTCTACAAAAATACAAGCGACCTTAACTTCGGCAGATAAACAGTCTTCTGATTTTAAGCCTTTAGGGAACATGGGTCAAATCTCAAATCAAATAAAAACTCAAATTCTTGAAATAAAATAAATCACCTAAAAAAATCAAAACTAAAAAAACCATCCACCTCCCTTAACCGTTTGTCGGGTGTGATAAATTTGAAATTAACCTCAGCTCACAAAGAGTGAATGTGTGACGGGTGTATCACTTTGATTCATCCTCAAACAGTCTCTTGCCAGCAAGGCCGTGGCACGTGCCCTCTGATCAGGTGGTTTTGCGGCAAAATGACACCATTATATTACGGCCAAAGCCCGTATGTTCCCTAAAGGCTTCAAACCCTTGAGTTATGAATCATAGGGTATATTCGATAGGCAGCAAGCCCTCTGCAAGCTAAGGTGGACTCATATATATCCCTTTAGACAAATACCAACCCAGGTTTACAAGGTATTCTTGGACAAAGCAACCCATGGCTGCCGACAAGATGCCTTCAGTTAGGTTGGTTCGACTAGCTCGTCTGACTAAGTAGACCATGGATCATGACAGTCCGGGACAACGGAACCATGTGATCTTGATTAGGCTCGTCTTCATTCCCCCCCCCACCAGTTTTAAGTTTGTGGTGATAAACTCTAAATTTCAAACTTCAAAATTCAAAATTTAAACCCTAAAATTATTGCTATTATACGATAGGTTCATAACCTATGTGACATCCTTAACGACTAGCCTTAATCGAAAGTCTCTCTCGTTATTGGGAGGGGTAATTATCTATAGGGGCTTGCGCCTATAGGAAACCAGAACTCAAATAAAAAAAGTCCTCACAAAATGAGGGCGAAATCCCTGGGTAGTGTCTTATCTAAAACCCAATCTGCCTTCTGAAAATTCCCCCGGAACCTAATCTCATTAAAACTCTTTGTCTTCATCGTCACACAAACACTTAAAATAAAAATGGATGGATGGCGTGGAGAGGCCGGAATCACACTTATAAAATGGAATTTTTGGAGCGCACACACTTATTGTTTTTATATTATTGATGTCAATTTCTTATACCTCACACATCACATACATAAGATTCAAATCTAAGACCTCTTAGTTGATAGTCTAAGCTCTCAATCAATAAATCAAATTAAACTGCATAAATAATAAAATTTAAATATTAAATATATAAATTTTAAAATTTCAGTGTCATGTGAATCCCCAATTAAAAAAAATACTTCTAAGTGCTTTCGTTTTTTATTTCTATTTCACATCAGTCAGTCGCCACTAAAATGAAGTCAACGAGTCAAACATTCGCCAATCACACGCGCACTAGCCTTTATTTTTCTTTTATACCCTTAACTTCATCTTCTCCCATTCCTTATCAGCACATAAATTCTTCTGGTTTCATTGAAAGTATGAAACCGAACGCAATGCTCCTTTTTTTGGTCCAACTCCTCTCTTCTTTGTCGAGTATAACTCAAGCTGCCAACGACTATCAGCAAAACTGCGAATCCAAGAGCTGCGGCAATCTCAACAACGTCACATACCCTTTCTGGATCCGTGACAAGCAGCCAGACTATTGCGGCTTCCCTGCCTTCGAGCTCCGCTGCGACGATGAGAAAAATGCCTCAATTAACGTGGAACAAGAACATTACATCGTCCGCAACATCTCCTATGAAAGCCAAACCATTACACTGGCCCGCCCCAGCCACGAAGGCTGCTTTGCTCCTCGCAATAACCTCTCCCTTTCCCTCCCACCTTTCAAAGTTAGCTCAGCCAACCACGAGCTTATTTTTGCCCATAATTGCACGGTGCGTCCATCTGGATATAAGAAGATAGCTTGTCACAGCCATAAGAAAAGCCTTGTTGTTCTGGGGGGTGCCTATGGTACACCGGATGATGACGGCATCTTCGGTTCTTGTCATACGGCGGTGAGACCTGTGTTGACTTTTCCGGGAGCCAAAGTTGAAGAGTATATTAAGCTTTTAGCATCTGAATTTCTTCTCGACTGGGCTGCTCCAAATTGCTCAGAGTGCAGGGCAAGCAATGGGCAGTGTGGTTATAACAATGATACCTGGAAATTTATGTGTATTTGCGCTGATGGATCCCATTGGAGGAATTGCTGTAAGTGTTCTTGATTACTTACTGTTCTTTAATTTTTATTCTTGGTGATGTTTTCCAAGAGGATTTTGTTAAGGTTTTAGGTTTTCTCTTATCGCGAGTTTCCAAGCTAAAAAGAGGCGGCCTTTTGACTATAAGTTGATGAATGTAGTATGGTAATAATAGCACATTAACACATGACATGTTTAACTGCTTATCTATGAGAGCTGAAAATCTTGATGTGCCTTGTATTGAATTAGTCTTCTGATAAGTATATTTGCACTTTGACCTGAAGTTTGAGTTTTGCTCCTTTTTTTATGGTAGAACAGTTTGATTTGATACTGAAATTGATGAATTAAACTGTATTATTATTATTTTTATCATTTGAAAAAATGGATTGCTAGGAGAATTGTCATTCGTCAGACAACGGTACGCGAAATTAGTAGTATTTGGTTTGAATGTGTGAATGCAAAAGTAAAATTAGTGGCGATGTTTACATGCGAAGCCGATGGGAACTTCAAGAGCAAAGAAAAATTTTCAGGAAGACAGCAACAAAGAAAAATCTTAGGCGGTCTGTGACCTTTTTATCGCTTTAAAAGATTGAAAGTTAGTGCTTTTAGCTTATCATTACTACCATAATCAGTTTTATCCCAATTATTTGTAGTTGGCTTCAGAAATCCTCTTGTTCTATTCATTCTCAATTGAGGCTACACAAGATAATAACTCTAGTTTTCATTTCTTTTGTGTATCTTCCACTTGTGATATTTTTGTTCTGGCATTTTTTTTCCCACGTATCTTGCATTATTTTGTTTACTTCACATATTGATGCATCTTTTGGCGTTTATTGCCAGTTACTCAAACCACTTGTCTATTTTTCATTACTTTACCTTTAAATGTGCTGCTTCCACATTTTTCTAATATAATCAATTTTGTTGTATCCATCTAGTATTGCCACATTTCTCAGCATTTTCATTTTTCTTTCAAAATCAACTGGTATATTGATGAATTCTTTGTTGAACACTACTTACGTTCAATTCTTAATCCTCGAAATTTGCAGCTAAATTGGCCAATCTGAGAAGAGACCATAGGAGGTGGAATTGTAGTTAATATTTGTGCATCTATTCACTTACTTTTATGATAATAAAATGACAACATTCAACAATGAACTCTTTTACTGAGCCTGTGATATCCACTTGTTAGGTTGTTTTTGGGATTTACTAGAAGTATTGTTAAATCTAAATTATGCCTTGCTTAGTTTGGTTTGGAAGAACTAAATTCCTAATCCAAAGAGTAGTAAGCAGTTAACACACTCTGATACATTAAAATACCCTCCAAACAACTAGGATGGCATTTGTCACTAATCCTATTCATAGTGGTTTTGGATCATTATTGCATCAGAGCACGGTTCTCAGCTTAAAACCAAATGTGCGTAACTTAAAATGATTAAAACCCAAATAACCATCAACAACCTAAGGCTACATGGGTTGAAGAACCCGGTATAATGCAATTAGATAGAAATAAATTAAATTATAGAATGACTTTGTATTTACCAAACTTGAAAAAATATTAGTTAACATTATGTAGCTGATGGTTTAGTTGCAGACATTAATGGTTTAGAAAAATATATGAGATCTAACCAAAATTTGTGACAAGGATCTCACATATTCTGAGAATAGTAATGAGAAATGGAAGAACCTCGCCTACATGAGGAAGACTAGCTACTAGTTGGACATCCAACTCCTTTCAAGATAGTGCCAAAATAGAATTTTTTTTATATGAAGTAATAGATATTAATATGATAATTGGCTAGAGGTCTTACAAACATTTTCTCCTTTAGCAATTATGCTCTCGTATATAAAATATCATTCTCCGAATTGAGAATATTGTTCCACACTCACAAGTGGTGGAGCTTAAAATCCTTGAAGTTATGATTTCTCTTGTATGACAAGCAAAATTTAAATAATTACTAAAAGTCTAGTTTTATGCTACTAACCTTGGCGAGGAAAAATTGATTTGTTGGTTGTAAATAAGACAGTGCGAGAAGTCAGTGCAGGAGTATACGGGGTGAGTCGATAGACCTTCTCACTCAGCATCTTAATCCAAGAAAAACTATGAAATTTATTATAGGGTTGATTGAAGATCTTGTCAAGGAATTAAAGCTAAACCTAACACATACCATTTTATAGACTAATCCAATAGTGCATAGCTATAGAAAAGAAAGAAAGGAAGCTAAATGTTCTCCTAAAGTAATGTCCAAAAAGAAGAACTTTAAGGAGACATAAGGAAAGAAGGAAAATTTGATATAGTCACTATTAGTATTGAGGCCACTCAAAAGCAGAGCATGGGCAGCTACATCCTGCAAGATTTTTCAATGCTTGTGGCCACTGATTTTTAACATACAATGACAAAATATAATCTCTTTTTATTTTTTTTTATTTAAAATGGTGATATTTCACACTTCTTCAGTAGAAATCAAGAAAAAAATTAGAAGTAACAACAAGACAATAGGGGAAAAGGCGAGGTTTTGGAAGCGAAATCAATGGGAGTAGTTTCTTAGGAAACCATAGCTTCAAGACTGGCTAGGCGGATGCTTTTTTGGTGCTTCTTGGCTAGAAGTTTTTGGTGCTTCTTGGCTAGAAGTAATGAGAATGTTTAGTCTTAGCAAAGGGTCGCTGAGGAGATTGAAGAGAAATCTAAAAGAGTGAAAGCCCATTTGTACTATGTAATACCATGTGTTAACTCCACATTTGCACATATAAGCGGCGAAATTTGCTGTTGTGGTAGATTGTGCATGTTGAAATGGATGGAGATGTCTAAGAAGACGGGCTATGGTATTTGGACTGATTGTTATGGCTAAAAGACTGAATGTTAAGCTGGCAAGCTGGATTTAAACAAAGGTGTGCAGGCTAGTTAGGGTTAGATAAAAAAGAAAAGAGGCACCAATTTTGTCCTAAAGAGGTGCTGTCCAGTTGATCAAATAGAATCAAGATTACTGAGGCACCAATACATGTGTTGATTAGGAAATAACTATTATGATTGACCTTTGTTGCTTTGGTCGACTAATTGATACGATTTGTTTCTAAAATTATACCATAGGATGATCTTGATTGAATGCAAAAAATGAGGCATCTATTGATGACATATTCTTACACACTTAAACACCTAAGGACATCTTTCAAACCACTTGAAAAGCTTTGGATACCTATCCTATTGAAGGATATTTTAGATTAACCTTATTAAGAAGTTGGGTAATTTGTTTATGGATACCCAACTTTGTTAATGCCCAACTTTGTTACTCATAGGAAATTTCTTGGTTCCAAAATGTTGCAACCTCAGTAATTTTGAGTTTCCTATCTTTATACAATTTCTTACTTTACCAATGTAGCCCCGCACACCGCCCACTATCACCAATTGTGTGTTTAATTTTCAAACTTTAAAGAATTTGTAATATAACTAGTTATAAGCTCATTTTATTGTCATGATTATTTTCAAACTTTTGTTGTTGAATTTGTAAAATGAATGCAAAAGTTTGTTCTTTTTCATGAATGCAAAATCTTGCAAGGTGACCTAGTATGAGTTTTTTGGAGCTTATGGTACTGAGTGGCTTTCTTCTTATACATTAGGCTCATATTTGAAAATTTCGGCATGTTTAGAAGAAGAGTTTAGGTTGAGCTTTATGGAAATGTACAAAATGCAGTTTGGCTACTTAGCACATGTTGATGGGAGTTTAAAATTGAATGTTTTTTGTTTGTGCCCTCTCGGATAATTTTTTGCTCATTTTGAACTGATACTTTTGATGTAATTCAAATATGATACTTGTCATAGTTATAGAAACATAAGCAATTTTATGTCTCTGTTGCTTTGATATGCAAATAACTTTTAGAATTAAGTGTCTTCCTTACTAGCAAAATGCGGAGTCAATTTTTTTTGTTGAGCCCATACCTTTTGAAACTATTGGTTGTTAGATACATTGAGATTAGTTTCTTCAAATCTTTCATAATTAGATGTCCTAAAATTTAGCTTTGAATAGACGATCATGTATAAATAGATTTGATATCACTTTGTTAATTCTTTTCTTCATTTGTGATCAAAATCAATAATTTGATATGCCTTGGAGGCAAAAATAGCAAACACACAATGGAAAAATTGTAGAAATAAGAATATAGGTGGCAAATTTTTAATTATAATTTCAATAAGAAAGCAAGATACAGGTAATGTACAATTTGAAAGGTAGATCGGATCTCTCAAACCACCTAGACGCCGCTAGAAAGTACTCATGAAAATAAAACTACAACAACTCTCCAATAAAATTATGCATAAAATAAAATAAATCCAAAACTTAGCCTTAAATATGCTTCTTCTACTTCCCTCCTAAATCACCCCCTCTTTTCTAATATATTTTCATCTCTAATTTGAATTTCAATAAGGAAATCTTTCCTAATTAATCCATTCTTAAATCAGCCTCCCTTTCTTAATATCTTTCCCTCTCCAATTTGAATTTAAAAATTAATGTTTTATTGGGTTCCATAAAAGGAGCAGAGATCTGTCTAGGTTCAGCCCTCCTTGGTCCGCCCCTCCCTGGTTCGGGGTCTGCTGGACCGGCCGGTCCAGCTCTTTCATGGTCCGCCCCCTAAGGCCTACCAATGTATCAATACTCCCCCCCTCTCAAAGTACCACTTTGTTCTCAAGGTGGAATGAAGGGAGTTATTGCTGAATAATCTTGTAGGACTCCCATATGGCCTCGTGCTTCAATAGGTGCTTCCACCTAATGTGGACCTCCGAAGGAGCACCGCTCGCGGGGG